AATTTTTAAAACCCCTTTTCCTAGATTGATTTCGGCATTTACTTTTCTTAAAAAATCCGCCCCCAAGATTATTGGAAAAATTAAATCAGTCACTAGCAAAAATTCATAACAAAATTTCGAGTCGTTTATGACAAAGTTTAGAAAAATCTGATGAGTAATACGTCTTTCCTTTGTTCTAAACGCCCCCGTAATTCTAACCCCAGTTACTGGAAACGTAGGAATTTGATTATGAAATTGTGACAATTGGTTGAAAACGTCACCTGAAATGCATGTACATTCTGAACCAGTGTCTATAAGTGCTGGAAAGTTGAAATTAAATATTGACACTGATATAAGAGGTGAACGTTTATTCTCTACCACATGATCATAATCACACTCCAACAATTCATCCATGGGATTATTTTTTATAATGGCGGCCTTGTGGGTACTATGTACACTAACTTCAGGCCCTAAAGATCGTGTACCAAATCGTTTCCCGGCTCTGACGCTGGAGAAACATTTTCAGTAACATTAATAGCGGAAACATTATGATTTCTCTGTGAAATCGATTGACCGTTATTTCTTGGACGATTTTGATCACCCCTCGTATAACGATTTCGATCATGAAAATTATTAAAATTATGATTTGAATTATTGTAATAATCAGCTTGTTGTAGGCGAGAAAGTGCCTCCCCAAGTGATACAACCCCAACTAATACAGCCGATATTGTTGGGGGAAAATGCCGAGATATTAACCCTACAAGCATTGGTTCTGTAAACGGGGGCCTCAGATGTCTCGCCATTGCCACGAAGTGTGTAAAATGCTCAACATACGATCCTCCCTCGTATCGCCCTGCCTCAATCCTCAGTTTAATATGCAATTGCCTAGTCTCATCCCAAAAATATTTCAGGAAAGCTCTCTGGAAATTTTGGAAACTGTCAAAAGTTGGTAAAAAAGCTTCGCCCCAAATTTTAGCTTTTCCTACAAATTTTCTTGGTAACATTAATCGAATATTTATGAAATTTAAATTATTATTTTCTATAATGGAATCTAATTGAGATACGAAATCAAGAGGGTGGATGCTTCCCTCATTATCAAATGGTACTAAATCCCTAAGTATATCCATGATACATGGAACAATTCTATTGATATTATTTCCCTCTTGGGGTATATTATTGTGACTATAATTAGTGGTCATAGGTTGCCCTAATCCGGAATTTTGACGATGTTGTGGGGAATTATTGAACTGTATTGTGCTAAGGGCTTCTGTAACAGTTCGTTTAACAGTTTCTTCGATGATTTTCTGAAAATCTTGGTTTTGGGAGTGTTGAGCTTGAAAATACGTAGGAGGTGGCACTGACATCGTTGGTGGTCCCGTTGGATATTGTTGTTGCTTGTCAAAATAAATGGGAACGTTCCTACCTTGCAAAAATGACGATACTGGGGTACCTGCTGGAGATGGGTAAGGCGGAAATGGCGGGATTCCGTGAGCTGCCGACGATAAATTTGTTGGCGCTGATGGGCGTACTTTTGGGATCGCTCCCGTCGTATTCTCTGCTGTTCTGTTTCCCCCAAAACTATCTGGAACTGAACCTGGTGAAATTTCTCTGGCAGCAGCACCAAATGACGCATTAGGGCCATTTTCGCTTGAAGCCTCCATATTTCGTTTGTTCCTATTTCTTGTCACCGGTGGACTTGTTTGGTTTCGTGGTCTCTCCGAGACCGGTGTTCTTCGCATCCTCCTAATTTCCTAAACTCGCCCTTAGTTGGGTAGCCAAGTTGTAACAAAATGATGTTGGTGCGCCGGATCTCAGGAAAGCGTGGGTCGAGCTCAAGGGAAAAAAGGAAGTACGTTCGGGGACGAATGTTTTTATTTGTGCTCGATGAAAACTACAAAGCAAACAATAATTTTCCTATTAGCGCCAAAACTTGGGGGAGCTGATTTTGGGACGAAATTCACATATAAAGGTATAACTCACCTACAAAGCAGGTATATGCCACTAAAATATTTAACGAGATAATATATTAGGTACACTGAACCACAGGCTAAGCAGTTTCACAAAACACTGAGGACGAAGTCGAGCGCTTCTTGAGCAAAAAATCTCGTACGATTTCGATAGATGAATAAATGTGAAAACAGACATAGCGAGACCTCTGGGAGTAGGTATAGTTGATACTTTCAATGGAGTGCAGGTACCTGTGAATATTTTCGTTACAATATACCGAGATGTGCCGATTTTGATAAATACACCGCCAGGGACAGAGATAATGGAAGAAGCTGCGAAAGTTGTATTTGTTTCCGGAAATTTCAAGAAAAAAGTATGCATTTTTTACTCGAAAAATTTATGGAATCTAAAAAAATACAGAAATAAAATCTTTTTCGGAACGTGTACTTTTTTTAAATACTTCGAGGAACTAGGAAAGGCGTCTACTCTTAGGTCACAATATTCAATGTGGCATAGTGCCTCATTATAAAATAAATACCAATAAGCTACATTGATCGGATTCTTTGAATGAGTGCAGTTGTAGAAAAAGTATAGTGTGCAACATGTGGGGAAAAGCACTTTTCTCACTCGTGTGTTTGCATCACCCGCCCTTCAGGCTCGTGCCACAAACTTTCACACTCGTGAGAAGAGTTGAACTTTTCCCACTTGTTGCACAATATACCATTGAAATTTGAGCTTATCATGAATTCATGCTGATAGGAATGTTCAGTTTCCAAGAAAATTTATTACCTTGATCATGATACAGGGAACAACACAAGTAGTTAATCTTACACCCTCAACTTCTTGATGCCCTGTGGCGAAAGTCAAAAGAATATACAAGTATTTTGAGGGAGTATGAATTGTTTAAATTTTTGATATCAATAATCCAGTGCATTCATTTCCGCAGTGGCGGATTAAGATGTTTCGCAGACTGATGCGCAATTTATTTCAGCGCCCCCTTCTTGATGGAGACAAAGGACAATTCCAGGGGCGTCATTTCAGTGATTACCAGGGGGGGTCAAGAAGCCCAAAAAGAAGGAAAAAGTTTCCTGAAATTTGTTCACTTGCTATGGTAACGATACAAAATACAGACTATATCAATCAGTCGAAAATGTTAGGTGTGAAATTTTATGGATACAACAATGTCTATATGCTGTCGGATTTTTTATATCAAAATGTATCCAATTTTAATAATACCTATTCTGCGAGAATGCTGGAGCTATTTCATCAACTATGATCAATGTGATGAATTCATTTGAAATATTCTCTTTCAAGTAATGAACAATCTCTTATATGATTCACCTATTTGATTCAAAAACTAACCATACAATAATTTATTACTCAACACTACTCTTTTGGTTGATACGTGGTATTACTATGATACTGTTGCCAAGCATGTTAACGAACAAATTTCCGTCGAAATCACGATATTGTCAAATTTGATGATACGAGGTATTACCACTAAGCCATCGATATCAAATTTACGGATCCCAGCTGGTCAATTCTTCTTAGATCAACTGAATGTTGGTAGGTAGGTACTTGGCAGAAGTTGGGTTTACTAAACAGTGTTTCGTTGCAGCACCGAACATAAACGTAAAGGCTTTATGAATGACTCATGCCATTCTATTTGTCCACATATAAATTGATCAACGCAAATGTGATAATAATTTTTTGTCAAACTTTGAAGGAGACGCTCGTATTAGTTATATACTCCAGCATTTGTTTTGTTGTCAGAATTTATTGTTTTTCAAGGCACTCTAGTTCAATCAAATGAATTTTGTGTTGATTTCTTTAAAAATCGCACGATGAGAGCAATAATGTGATAATTCACAATTCTTCGTTTTGAGAAAATCGACATTGAAAATTCTTCACTTCACTTCTTAATGATGATGAATTTGTCTCTGGTGAACCTCATTCATCGCGAAAAGTATATTAGGTTCAAATTGTATTGTTATATCATAATGAGCTTACATGGGATATTTTGAGTTATAATATTTTCGAATATTTTTTCCAATTCGTAAAGATAAATTTTCGACATGTTACAGTTTTGATTCATCACATTCGACAATTTGTTACATTTAATTCATCATTTCATTCAATGATGAAAATGTAATATCGTGTGTTTAATCAATAAGGTGACTCAATGACTTATCACATTATTTATCATTGAAATTTTCTCAAAGTCAGGATACGAGGCGTATCCTGCGAAGTTTAGGTGACAACGCAAAAAGTCACTTTCTTCTTCGGCTGTAGTACCTACTTCTCCTGCAATAACGTGACCTGCGATGTCACGCAACAGCTATTGGACCTAGAGATGTCACGATATTCTAGAAGTGTAAAGCTCAAAATTTCATATCCGACGGTGGTTCTAACTCAAAAAATCAACTTTTTTGAGTTGTCTCACTATTGTTCTCAACGTGCGATATGTGAATTCTATAACACGACTAATCAGTAAAATACATATAGAGTATACTGTCAACAAAATCGAGTGATGACCCTTCAAAATTTAGCAAAATCAATATGTGTCATAGCAGGGTGATATCATAATGAAAATAGACGGTTTTTCCGGATGCACAAGGCACTTACTCAGACTTAGACAAAGTCCAAACTTGAATTTCTGGAAACCGAGTGCCAGAAATTTTTTTTAAAAAGTACCTTCAAACGTATTAGTTTTTACAAAACCAATTGATAATTTCTCAACGGTTGAAGCGAACGGATCCATAATGCGTAACAAAGAACAAATTCTAATATTTTTCAACGCCTACGGTAATAATACAGTTGGCGAAACACGTGTTGTAGTGTTGAAAAATCAGTTAGGCTAGTGGTTAAACAATATTGTGCCAAAGATTTCAGTTCTCGATATAACAGTAGACGATCATTTTTCCGAGTTTGGAAACTTTTCAGGTACCTTATTAGAAATTTTATTGATTTTGATCGAAGTAATACCGAATGATGACCTTCCTAATAGAATCTTTGTTTCCATGTAAGCCTTTCTTACTAGGTAATTATATATAATATCATCTGAAAATACCAACCTAGCTAGCTGTAGTCGTAACTGTTTCCTAGGATGGTACTGCTCTAACAGACCTAGTACTTCGAATATCATCGGGAATATGAAAGATATCAACGAAATCACAAATGACGTTTCATTTTTCCTCCAAAAATTATCCTGTGCTTCTGGTTCTGTGGAACGCTTCACAACCATTATTATAGCCCAAACTGATGATCCAAGTAGCCCCAACACTACAGTATTCACCAAGACTCTGAAGCCAATAACTTCCCAACTAAAATCAAATCGAATATTTATTGTGTGCAGTACAGGTTTCAAATTTTGTACACTATCGATAATATAATTGTTATAGTTGTACGCCTATTAGGCAGCGAATAGTTATTTGTTCTACTAGGCAGAAAAGTACAAGATTTAATGCCGCGGCTGGCGTTTCATAGCCAAGGCTAGGAAACCAGCCAAAGCATTACATCTTTTTTTCTGCCATGTGAAACATATATTATAATTTTTTCTCCAATTCTTTTCAATCGAAGTTCGAATATTCCATCATTTTTTGTTCATCCAAAGTCATTGGCTATTTTGATTACCAATTTGATTCAAATTACTTGGAACGTTGCATAGCAACAAAGTTTTTCTGCCTAGGCAGTAAAAGTACACCTTTTCAGTGTCGGAACAAAAGTTATCGCCGTGGCCAAGGCAAGACAATGTTGAGGTCGCCAAAAAATTCGCGGCTATGGCATACACACTATTTTTCGTGAAATCGTCAAAATTATCGACTCAAATAATTGAAATCACATTTGAAATGAATGCAATATATTTTTACAGTTTTTGACAAAGCGAAAATATAAACTGACCATGACTAACACTGCATGAACTTGCTATTGTCGTAGTTTAGGAAAGTCAAATTCGGAAGATCGCTTTGGTTTGGTAGCCGTGGCTATGGGTAACAGCAGCGAAGTTGTACGTCGCGTAGTATACAGTGTCTTTCAAAAGTATCGGAACGGTCTCATATTTCAGGAACGGCTTGAGAAAAATTCACGAAATTTTCTACAGGGTGATTATTAATGATGTCCGATTCAATGGTGGCATCGGCAATGTTGCCAAGTTTTTCAGATATTAGGAGTAACTTTATTTTTTCAAATGGAATACCCCATTTATTTTTATTGCAATTAATCAAGCGCCTCCTAATTACTTGAGTCACTGAATATCAGATTCGTAATTAACGTGATTTTCGAAATATGACGGTCCCATATTTCAGAAGCGGCTCAGTGAAAATTTATGAAAACTTCGACAGGATGGTTGTTGATGATGCCCGATTCAATGGTGATATCGACAATGTTGCCAAATCAACAGTTTTTCAGATATTTAGGGTAACTCAATTTTTTCAAATGGAATACCCTATTTGTTCTCATTGCAATACATTCAGCGACGCCTCATTACTCATGTCTCCTAATATCAGATGTATTGCAATGGAAACAAATAGGGTATTCTATTTGAGAAAATTGAGTTACCCTAAATATCTGAAAAACTGTTGATTTGGCAACATTGCCGATTTCACCATTGGATCGGGCATCATCAACAACCATCCTGTCGAAGTTTTCATAAATTTTCACTGAGCCGTTTCTGAAATATGGGACCGTTCCAGAACTTTTTAACGAAAATGCTATGTTGTCATATTTCGAAAATCACGTTAATTATTCAGAGACTCAGGTAATTAGGAGGCCCCTGATTAATTGCAATAAAAATTAATGGGGTATTCCATTTGAAAAAATAAAGTTACTCCTAATATCTGAAAAACTGTGAACTTGGCAACATTGCCGATGCCACCATTGAATCGGACATCATCAATAATCACCCTGTAGAGAATTTCGTGAATTTTTCTCAAGCCGTTTCTGAAATATGTGACCGTTCCGATACTTTTGAAAGACACTGTATATAGAAAGCGAAGTACAGGGTGCGCCTCTCAAAATGGAACCCCCCCTTAACTCTTTCGTTTTCAGAGATGTGAGAATATGCTGAATCAAACAGTTGTTTGAAACGACCTGAACTTTCATTTCGTGAAGTTGCTTCATATACAGGGTCATTCATTTTTCCGGAAATGACATCAACTTTGATTCTTTCAATGAAACACCCCATATATTGTCTGACATGTCGATCGAGCCTTCTTTTCTGATTTCGAAAATATATATAGGTTGCATATTTGGATGAAAAATAATTGAGTTATTGATTATCAAAGTTCACCAAAATACCGAATCTTTCATTGAAACTTTCTATTCATGTTTTTTTGTATTGAGAATGAACGATTTCAATTTCATAATGAACAATAATATTATTATGTCATTACCATGGAGCTTGAACAATATATAAACGTTATTTCAAAGCCCATTATATTCAACTCACATTTAGATGATATGAATGAGTTATTATGGTAAATTTTGATCATCATTAACTCAACTATTTTTCATTCAATAATGCAACTCATATATATTTCTGAAATCAGAAGAAAAGGCTCTATCGACATGTCGTAAATTATTTAGGGTGTTCCATTGAAAAATCAAAGTTGATGTCCTTTCTAGAAAAATTGATGACCCTGTATATAAAACAACTTCACGAAATAAAAGTTTGGGTCGTTTGACACAACTTTTTCATACAATATTTTTTCATATCTCTGAAAACGAAAGAGAAAGGGGGGATTCCATTTTGAGAGACGCACCCTGATGTACTCTCTTCGTGTACGATTGCACGAAAAATTACTTAGTTTTATATTGGTACAACATTATCCAGTTTCATTTGCAGAATATTGAAAATCAATAAATTGCATTGTCGTCATGACAATATTGGTGAAATATTTTGTGGGAGCTAGGCATCCGACCGCGTGGAAACGAGGCCTAAGATGAGTCGGACCAGGCAGGTGGATATGGAATTCGATAAGCAGGACAGTTAGTCGATAATTAGGTGACAAAGAGTATTGTTGTTATCGACAGGGGTCGAGATTAAACACGTTATTTTGGGAATTGTGAGTTATTTCATGGTCTTAAACCCCACGGCCTGCTTACATTTGTCAGAAGTGTTGGGTATATAATTCAGAGGAGTGTGGTAGTAGTATTCACGGAAGGTGTGGTTATAGTAACATTTTGGAAATATTCCTTTGTTCTAAAAGTGAGTGAAATCGAGTTCAATGGAGTCATCAGGGACGAGGACACCCCCTCAAGTATCGGATGGTGGTAGTATGGCTCAGACATTAGGAAGTACACCGCCTTTAACACTAGAGCAACAGGTAAAATTTCTACAAAAAGAAGTGACAGCTATGAGAGGAAAACTTGAGAAATAGAAGTTCACACTGACGCGAGTTGTATTGGTATCGGAGCAATGTTGCTTCAGAAGCACCAAGATGGATGGCATCCGGTAGCATATTTCAGTAAACAATGCACTTATGAGGAAAGCAAATATCACTCGTACGAACTAGAAACAATGGCGGTTGTGTTCGCTCTACGACACTTTCGGATTTATTTGTTGGGTGTATTTTTTACTGTTTTCACTGACTGTGAAGCAATAAGAAGCACTTCAGTGAAGAAAGACTTAATACCGAGGATAGCGCGATGGTGGTTAGAAATTCAGGACTTTAATTTCGAGGTTAGGTACAAAAGTGGTACAAAGATGGCACATGTTGATTTTTTAAGCCGGAATCCAGTAAATGACTACAATGACTATGCGCAGGTGCACAATATAATTAACATCGACGAAGGGGAGTGGGTTAGAGCAGTTCAGTTGCAAGACGATGAAATCAGCAAAATTAAACATATCTTGCAATCACCTAAAACTCCCGAAAATAAGAACTATTTTGATAATTTTTGCTTGAAAAGTGATATCGTATTTAGAAAAGTCAGCAATAGCGTTCGTTGGGTGGTACCAAAAAGTTCGAGATGGCTGATATGTAGGCTAAATCACGATGATGTTAATCACATGGGCTATGAAAAAACTCTGGAACGTATAAAGCGAAATTACTATTTTCCAAAAATGGCCAAATTTGTGAAAAAATATGTATCAGCGTGTTTGAACTGTTTATACATGAAAAAAAAATCCGGACCCGTAGCAGGGGAGCTACATCCTATACCAAAAGGAAATATTCCGTTTCAAACGCTACATTTAGATCATGTAGGGCCGTTTGTAAGGTCTAAGAAGTACAAGAATACACATTTGTTGGTTATAGTAGATGGTTTTTCAAAATTTTGTTTCTTGGAAGCAGTTAAAAACACCAAAGTAAAATACGTATTGAGAGCTTTAGAAAATTGTATGTTCCTTTTCGGTGTTCCCGAGAGAATGATTACTGATAGAGGGTCGTGTTTTACCTCTGAATCAATGAAATCATTCTGTAAAGATTACAATATAAAACATATATTAAATGCTGTTGCCACGCCGCGAGCAAATGGGCAGTGCGAACGATTCAACCGCACTATATTAGATTCCCTTCGTTGCCTTAGCATAAACGAAGATGAAAATTGTTGGGACAAGTTTGTCAAAAAGGTTCAGTATGGTCTCAATACAACCATAAATAGAACAACCAAAGAGACACCGTATAAAATTTTAATAGGATTAAATCCTAAACCGATAGCTGATTCGATCATTTTAAACGAAATTGCGGAAACGGTTACTCGTTGTGATTTAACTAGCTTGCGCGAGCAAGTTGAGGCCAACATCAGTCAGGAGCAATTAAAAGCAAAGTACAGATTTGACAAAAAGTGCTCGAAACCAAAAAAATACAAGAAAGACTCTTTGGTTATGGTGAAAATCACTAATAAAAAACAGACGGGAAGTAGTAAAAAACTTCAACCGGTATTCAAGGGACCATTTCGAGTGAAAGAAGTCATGGTGAATGACAGATATTTAGTTGAAGATCTGAGAGGTACTACTAAACACGTCACAACTGTTCCTGGAGAACACCTCAAACCGTGGGTCGTTCTGAACGATGAATTCAGTCAACCATTATAGAATGATTTTTTTTCTGTTTTTTTTTTGTGTATTCAATTATTTTGAGTATTGGTTCATGTTTTCGAACCAGATAAAGTTAATCCTGATTCACGTTTTCGAATCAGATAAATGATTCACGTTTTCGAATCAGATACATGATTCACGTTTTCGAATCAGAGATGCCTGATTTACGTTTTCGAATCAGATGCCTGATTTATGTTTTCGAATCAGATGCCTGATTTACGTTTTCAAATCAGATGCTTGTTTTATGTTTTCGAACCAGGTGAAGTTAAGCCTGATTCACGTTTTCGAATCAGATGCCTGGTTTATGTTTTTGAATCAGACGCCCGGTTTATGCTGTCGAATCAGATGCCTGCTCAATACGTTCGGGACTCAAGAGATGTTGAGCCTGGTTGGCGTCTTCGAGCCAGACTTCTGCTGAGGCGCTAACGATACATGGTTCAGCCCGAGGTTCAGCCACTGGAGTACCTGTCCACATCATCCTCTGCTTCCAACAATGAGAGTTCGAGGGCGAACTCTCGACAGGATGGCCGAGTGTGGGAGCTAGGCATCCGACCGCGTGGAAACGAGGCCTAAGATGAGTCGGACCAGGCAGGTGGATATGGAATTCGATAAGCAGGACAGTCAGTCGATAATTAGGTGACAAAGAGTATTGTTGTTATCGACAGGGGTCGAGATTAAACACGTTATTTTGGGAATTGTGAGTTATTTCATGGTCTTAAACCCCACAGCCTGCTTACAATTTCCACATTATTACTTATTCAAAAATTATATTAGACAGTAACAATATAAGCCTCAAACATATGGTTCAATATCACTTGAATATTTTGATGAGAAATAATTAAAATCAATAAATTATTACACCTAACCAACTATTTCAAATGAAATGTCGCATGGAATGATAATATTGCTGTTTATACGGGATTCTCCTTCAACATTTCGCTTCAAATGATACGATTGAACATGCGGTGAGTTCAGAATTACATAGCTTCCTATCAACTCCCAGTTAGTGATTCACACGAGACCAGCGAGACGAGACTTTCATAAAGTCTCGTCTCGTCTCGCCGGTGAAATATAAAGTCTTGTCTCGAGTCTCGTCTCGCAGGCCCGAGTCTCGTCTTGTCTCGCGTCTCGTACGAGAGTCTCGCAAGGTATCGCAATTTCGTCATGCATATTCTTGTTTCAGTCTAGTACGAAATATTAACCTTTACCTACTTTTTAGGAATAATGTAAAAGTAGGAAGAGAAAATTACAACAAAAATAACATTATTTATTGAAAAGTAAGTACCTAATAGGTACATACTTACATCATACATCTGAACAAGAAAAAAAATACATATATTCGAAAGTTATGAAAATAGAATGAAAAGTAACACGTATATTCTAAACAAACCAAACAAAACAAAAACTTTAATCCAACATTATTTTACTTATTTGAGAAATAGGTATCCAAGAAAATAGTTATTTGTTTTACTAGGCAGAAAAGTAGTATATCTACATTTGCTGCCATGTGAAACATAGAATTTTTTCTCCAAATGATATTAAACCAATTTTGTGTAATTTTTTTATTGAAAACTCCATCATTTTGTGTTCACCCAATGTCAGTGTCAATTTTGATTACTAATTTCATTAGAATTTCTTGGAACGTTGCATAGCAACAAACTTCTTCTGCCTAGGCAGTAAAAGTACACATTTTCTGCCTGCTAAGCTGCAGGAAAAGCCACTATACCTGCCGCTTGGAGAAAAAAACCATTTTCAGTCAGATCAGCCTTCACGATCGCAAATGTTTTTCACCCAGTCGTCAAGACATAACAAACATCGTGCAGATTCATTAGATGTTTTCTTATAGAATTCTTTTTAACTATGTTTTATTTTGAATGAAATTCTCAAGTCTACAGTCGGCACGCAGATATATTTACCTGCGAGACTCTCGCTCGAGACACGAGAAGTCTTGCACGAGACTCGAGACGAGACCAATAAAAGTCTCGTCTCGTCTTGTCCGAGTCTCGTCTCGAGTCTTGTCTCGAAAACGGGACGAGACCATGCGAGACTCTCGAAAACGAGACTCTCGTGGGCACCACTACTCCCAGTATTAAGAAGTGTCGAAAAAGGGAAGAAAATAGATTCATATCAAGAATCATCTTTCGTTACTATGTTGGAGAAGTAAGTAACTATAGATCAGTTCTTGGATCATCCAAAGGAGGTAAGTGATTTTTTTATACAGGGTGGCCCGGATTGTAATACATTAAATTCAACATTGTACTCATTCGAATAATAAAAAAGGTTTATATAAACATATACTTTTGAAAATATGAGGTTGAATATTGGTTTTTGATGGAAACTCCGAAACGGTTTGAGATAAATCAACGGAATTTCTCATATATATTAAACTTTCTACGCCCTACAACATGAAATGAAAATTCGTTCATGGGGTGATTCAATGGCGGCTGAATCAGGAGGTAGTGAAGGAAAAAAATCATCCCAATTTGTATATGTGCATTAAATTATTCATTTACGAGTACAACATCTGATAACAGATAGATTTCTGTTGTATTTTTTCAATGCGTTACAACATTTTCGGATTGAATCAGAATAATAATATGTGGAATGTGAGCTAATGAAAGAAATAACTGGACAAAAACAATGAAACTTTAATTTACCTTCACTATACCCCCAGGTTCAGCTGCCACTGAATAATTTTATCATCTTATAGAGCGTGAAGAGGTAATATCTGTGAGAAATTTTGTTGCTTTATCTCAAATCTTATCGAACTTTTCATCAAAAAACAATATTCAGACTCCAATTAGCAATACTTTATATATCAAAAACGACGCGATTAAAAGTATATGTTTATATGATTTTTTCTTCATTATTTCAACGAATACCTACAACACACTATTGAATTTGTTGTATTGCAAAATGGACCACCCTGTATATTATTTGAATATTCATATTCCTCTTCTTCAAACATTTTTCAGGAAAAGGTGTCATTGAAGATCGACTGAATTTCTCTTTCTCTGAGGGTGAAATTTTCAAACACAGTGACCTTTTGAAGCGAATCATCTGATTTTTCCTCACTAGATATGGGTATGTATATTGAAATGAAATTCATATTTTCATTTATAGAAATGAGGAGAAAAAAGTGAAAATATATATGTAGAGAAATATACCTACAGATAGTTAAATTATTTTACTAATGATGGAAATGCATGTATTATCGGTACCTACTTTCTGGTAACTTTCTTCTTTTCCGCCTCCTCTAATAGAGCTTCCTTGAACCCCATGACAATAGAGGCAACTCTGTTATGAGCTGTTTCTGCATTTCCAATCATATAGTCCCAGGCTGTGAACAATTTCCAGGAAAATATGCATTCGTCATCTTTTTCAGATAGTTTGGACATTCGAGAGTTTTCTGCCATTCTGGAGAACAATAGATATTTTCAATTTGTTGATCTACTGTAGAAGTACATACATATTGTCTCGAAATGGAGTGACGTATTTTCACTAAATATATGGATTTTTCATTTGGTTGTCGAAGTTATGTTATGTTACAAGTCTGCAATGAATTTATATCGTTTGAACAAAATAAGAACGAATCGAAATAACATTTTGAAACTTCAATACACCCGGATTCAAAACCAGAAACGAACATCCATAAGATGCCCTGTTTACTAAGGGTGAAGGTTGATGAGTTTTGTGAAACCTATATTTCATTGATTTACTCCAACCAGCTTTGAGGTAATAGTGATTTAATATGACATCGCATTAAACAATCGAATATTCCAAAAATGGAACCAACGTTTTGGAAAACGTATTTTCTACGGGTCGATCAAAAGATCATTTCGAAAGTTTAACTTGGTCTTTCAATTACACTTTGAAAAACATTATGTAACATGAATTCTTCGCCGATTCGATGAATGTTTTGATAGCAAGTCGTGCTACATATACATATAAATTGTAAATTATAAGGATGATCAAATAATTCTTTCACCAATTATGAATAGATGATAATTTCATTACAGTGTACGTAAGCGAATCAAGATTTGATAACGTTGCTCAGAAAGAATCGTTTCAAATGCTCAGCTGTACTTAATGAAATAGTGATAGAATAGGGTTAGCATCTATTATTTCATTAGATATGTCAACGTTCCAATTGAACGTACCTACATCTATCATGTAGTAAAAGTGTGAAATAATCAACGACTAGTCCCAAATTAAACATGTTTCGAACGTTCATTGAAAGATTAGATTCAACGGTATGGAAATCTCCGTTGACTTTTAACGTTGCCATTTTAACTAAGAACGTTCACTTAAGCTGCGTATACATGTAATTCACAACAAATCAGTATCTAGATCAAACTAAATAGTAAACATGATGGAATGCATTAGGAGTACAAAATGTCTTCCCTTGATTTTGGTTATCTAATATTATCTAATAGTTATTATATCAATTCGTACTAACTTTCTCAATGTAGCAAAGAAACTGTAACCGTATACTACCAGTCCAGTTACAAAATAGGCGAAGGGTAATCTATATCCACCCTTCGAGTTATCACTATTTGTATACCATCCATAAAATAAAGGAGAGTATTTCAGAACTCCATCAAACTCCCACAGCGTCATGAAATTGGTTGCATTATATTTTTCTTCCTTCAGAATATATTTATGGTTTCCAGCAGCTTCTGGATCAGCAATCAACCACTGAAAATTCAATATTCATATATTATTGGGTCATTCCTATATTCCATGATGACTGAGAATAATGTAAATAAGTGAAGCCATAAGAGTTGAGAAAAAACTTTTATTCATGATATATATTCAAACCATAACTATCGCTCAACGTTGTTTTAGATTCAACATATTGCTTATAGGTATCGTCTACTTTAACATAGTAAATTCCGAAAGGTATTTCTGGATTGGCGTTTATTCCCATGGGATAGGATTCCAACTGACTCTCACGTCCTCTTGCATATTCATTCAGATCTTTATAAGAGAATGCGTTGAAAAGATCAGGCTTCCGGATAGAAGCTATAAAGTATTCACAGGCTCGTATATGATCGCAAATCCCTGAAAAATTGCGAAACTCAATGGTGCATGATCCAAATCGAGTCAGTTTCATATATGATGGCATCAGTGTGAATCAAGCAGCTGTCAAATTACCACGTATTATCTGGGGGTCTTGTATTACACATACAGAGAAGTGCACAAAAAACGGCCAGGACTCTAACTTTTGAATTACTCGAGATAGGCTTTTGAAAATTGGTGAGCAGCAAATATACCAAATTGCTCATTAATTGATGAAACAATTCTTCTTCTTTCACTTCCAGTTTCACCGGAAACGACCCCAAATTTTGATTTTTGGATGGGAAACCCGTACCGTATTCCATAATCCGTTAAGAATTATTATTGGTGGGGTTATTTCAAACAATTACAAAGATATTTGCGTTCAAAGTTTCCATATGCTCAATGGATCTGACTTCGTAATGTCAAAACTTCTTTCTCTGTCACACTCATTGAGCATAATGGATAGTTAAAACGCGAATATCTGCGTAATCGTTTGAAATAAACCTATCGATCGGTATCGAAGAAATCGTATCGGCAATCCCTAAATGATTATGTAATACAATACAGGGTGTCCCATTTAGAAATCGAAAGTTGGGGTCGTTTCCAGTAAAACCGGAAATGATAGAACAAAAATTTTAGTCAAAATCATTGAGCAATTTGGTGTACCAGCTGCTCACCAATTTTTAAAACCCTATATCGAATAAGTCAAAAGTGTTTTGTGCGCATCTCTGTATGTATATGGAATGAATCGCTTAACCATCAGTTTACGCTTTGGAACATCGAAGGTAGTCAAAAAATGAGCTCAGAAGCTATCGACAAATCCAACATTTCTGGTCTTTGACCACACTTCCACTTGAAGAAAGCCAATATTTTGTCGAGTATTTTGTGGACAATCGCGAATGTGCTGCTGCAAAATAAACTTTATTGGAATCATGGAAATAGTATCAATATTCTTTCATCGTCAATTGAGTGAACCATTATGAGGAAAAAGTTAACATTTTGGTTGGGATTCTCTCCATCCCCTGGAGCGCACGAACGGGGATCCCTATGATATATAATGTTCGAAGAACATCGTGCGTACCTGGGGAGTAAAGAATTATATATTACTCTTCAAACTTATTCTTCTAACGTCAATGAGCTGTCAATGGAAATCTCGTGGAAATTACAGCCTGGCCTGGGGAACCAACGACCTATAGTTGAATTCAACACCACCAAAACCAAATCCTGTATTTTCTCTAGAGAGGCGGAACTCAGTATGCCTATCATAACAATTTATGATTCAACCATTCCCACCAAGACTATACTTTATCTATGCTCGGTATTACCATCAGCAATACTCTCTCATGGGAAAATCATATTCGGTCCATCGCAAAAGCTGCTTCACAAAACTCGGTTTCTTGTTCCGTGCGATAATCTTCTTTACACCACAACAGCTTCTCATGATTTACAAATCACAGATATGGCCAGTTTCAGAATACTGTTCTCATGTTTAGGGTTCAGCACCCAAGCATACGCTGATGCTCTCAGATTCCATCCAGAGCATAGCCATTTGCCTGGTAGGTGATGCGACACTCACCAACTCTTCTACCCTATCAGAATACCGTAGAAAAGTCGGCGACCTTCCACTTTTCTATAGATTCTTTCACGGGAAATGTTCCTCATGAATCTCTGCTATCATTCCATCACTAGCAATACCAGTCAGCATATTCCTTATTCGTTAACCTTGAAAAATGTCGAACAACACTCTAACAAAACTCGTTCTTCTATAGAACGGCGAAGCTGTGGAATTCTTTGCCAGTGCCGCCAGTGGAAGTATTCCCAAGAACTTATAACCTCCAATAGTTGAAAAAAATCTAATTTATCTCCTTGTCCCTCCTAGGTACGCGCCATGTTCCACGAACATTAGGTATAGGAATTTCCTATCGTGCGCTCCATGAGATGAAAAAAAAGTGTATGGAACTCTTATTTCTACTAGAATAGTGAAAGGATTGTGATGATGAAGTAACAATATGATGTTATCGTAAACGTAGTCATGCTAAGAAAATCAAATCATCTTCACATAGTTCGATAATAAATTGTCAGAAACTAATCACGTTGGATATATTATTATAAAACGTATTTGATGTAACGTTATTGTTAAATTGTTATATCTGAAATAACAACGTCAAAATACGTATCTATTGGCAGCTGCTTCATTTACAGTGATGGCAATATAGAAAACTCCGATCACATTTTATATATATACAGAATGTTATTCAAGAATGTGGTCAAACTTCAAGGGGTTATTCTTCCGGTGATTCTAAGATAGAACGTTTATTATAAAAATTAGATTCATAAATCTAATCATGGCTAAATTATTTCAATACTACTATGAACAACACTTCCGAATTTAAACAGAATTCGATGAGAGAGTTTTATGTCATTCACGTGAAACTGTATTTGAAATAAAATGCACTTTGTATTTTGAGAATGGTGCAATTATGGACCTATATGCACGTGAACTTTTGAATCTTAGAATAACCTGAAATATCACCCCTCGTAGTTTGCCTACATACTCAAATAAAATCCTGTAAATCTAAATAATGAAGGATTTTGAAAGTACAGTACCGGATGATTTTTGCTGTTTTTTCTCTGACCATGAAGTTTTTTGGTTTTTTGGGAAAATTTTTGTTAATTTCCATCACATAGGTATTAGTGTATTTCTGTTGTGAGTGAAATCGGAATTTTATACATGAGGGAAATAGTCGCTGATTCTCGATGGTGTCGATTATTCTTTCCCTGGAGCCGAAAAAATATCCACTTGAGAGGTCAAAAATAATATTTTATTGGAGCTTATCATTAGATTCCTATCGGTTGTTCATCATTCACAAGTGTATCAGCGATTTTTTTTTCAAATTCAACACTCATAATTCAATGACATCATAAATAATTATCGGTTTCTATTGCACGAGTGCATGAAAATCACCGATGATTTTGTATAAAAACGTGTTATCTAAAAATTGCATGAGTTTATTTTCATATATTTTTGCGAAAGAGCCAGAGACAAAGGACAAGGGAGTTTTGCACTGGTCCATCGGATATTATCTTTTGAGAGGGCCAAAATAGTCTCGGGAATATTGTAGCTTTATTACTAAGTCAGCTCATTTCGATTCGTGGCATTTTTGGATAGTCGCAAAGGGAACATGATTCCGTTTCATTTGTATCTTGTTTGGTCGAAATTTGCAGCCGGCTCTTGGACTAGTAAAATCAGAGTTTGAACCCGTACTAGCTCAGTGCCTGAGCCTGTACGGACCTGTCCCCAGCCCAGAGCTGTGATGTCTAGTGCTCATATACTGTTTATTCGTCTTTTTATTGTTTGTACCTACAGTGTTCGTCTAAAGTCTGTCCCACCCAACTAATTTTTGAACTACCTGGTATACCGCAACGAAATTTGTAGGGCTCTAATGGGACATGAGAACCTACTTTTTTATGGAAAAATTGAAGCGAAATGTGTTGAAATAGCGGCGACTGAGCGCCATCTTCAATATGTTTTTTAAAAAGAACACCCCGTATATTATTGCATTTTCGAAATTTGCTCATAATTCTCAACAGTTTCCTTCAATGAACTTCACTCCTGAATTCAATTGTTTTCGAAATATTAACGTTTGAAAGATGAAACTTCGTTCATTTCAGACCCAACCAAAAACACTGACGTTGCTTTCAATCAAGTTTGCATTGGAGAAAATCGTCGCGGTAACGTCTTGTTTATTCACAAATTAACTGTAACTGTCAAATAGTTCATTGACCACCTCACTCATTTTATGAAATGTGTCATGGCTCGTAGTTTGGAAGATGAAGCAGTTCTGATATTTGGAGAAGCTGGAAGAAATTATCATCTGCAGTCCGTATGTTTGATGATAGATTTCCCAAGAATCCTATATCGAGGTCGTATTTGCGCCAACTTTCAAATAAGCTTTAAGCAACTGGTACGCTGGAAGATGCTCCAAGATCAGGAAGACCGCCTCTTTCAGAAGAAAAAAAGGTAGAAATTGTAGCTGAAATGGTAATCAATCCAACTCAGTCGACGTCTGTAGTTGCTGAATCCTGTAGAGTGAGTTCAAAAAGTGTCCACAGAGTTCTCAAAAAATAAAAGTTTCGTCCCTATGCGATGAAAATCCTGCATGCTCTCAAGGAAGTTGATCCAGACCAGAGGGTTGATGTTTCTCAGACGAATGCACTTGTTTTTTAATGGAAAAGTCAAGGTGAATGTTTGGGCGGGGATTTCAGGCAATCGCGTTGTTGGACCGATATTCATTAGAGGCAATCTTACAGGAGTTCTTTACAGAACTCTTTTAGAAAGTGAAATTAAACCTCGAATAAGGCAAATTGTATTGAACAATAGGAAGAGTTTGAAAATCGTGAAATCATATTTCAGCAGGATGGAGCATCTCCCCATTTCGATCGCAGGACCAGAGACTTCCTCGATACTAACTTTCCTTGGCGGTGGATAGGTCGCAGGAGAAGTACAGAGTGGCCAACAAGATCTCCGGATCTTACACCTCTAGATTTTTCTCGTTTGGGATCTCTGAAGTCAGAAATCTATGCCAATGAATGCCAAATAATGAAAGAATTGGAACGGAAAGTATTAGATACATATGTGAAGAAATAGATGAACAGACTTTCATCAACGTGAGAGAAGTTATTTATAATAGGGCATGTTATTGTCAAGATTTAGGAGGCTACCACTTTGAACACTTGATGAAATAATTGTTGGGGTATGATGAGAGTTATTCAAAGATAAAATATGCATGATTTTTTGCCAACTAATTTATTTCGATAGTGAATTTACAGAACACATTCGTAGGATTCGAGTTTTTCCGGTAAGCGGTGCTGTTTATAACCAATAAACTCTCTTTACGCCTCTTATCAGTCGAAACAATCAAGAGATTCAACTACAAATCAATAACAACGTGTAATTAGCAAAATATTTCACAGGAACTGACTAAAATCCATACTTCATTTCATACCGGAATTTCACTTTTCAAACGTTAATATTTCGAAATCAATTCAATTTAGGAGTAAAGTGTATTAGAGAAGCAATTTTCGGGTGTTCCATCCAAAAAAATATTGAAGATGGTGCTCAGCCGCCATTTCAAAACTTTCAGCTTCAAATTTTTCATGGAAAAGTTGGGTTCAATCTCCCATTGAAGCCCTTCGAAGTTAGTTGCGATATACCAGGTGGTTCGAAAATTAGTAGGGGGGAACCATAGTGAAAGGGGACTTCAGACGGGCACTATATGTATTTTGATATCGCATATGCAGATTCTTCAATTTGTGAATTAGATGCAACCAAACAAAAGAAATATCTGAAAAATGTCATATGTATTATTTCACCATGTCATAGCACCAAATGTATACCAATGATGACAAATTTCTTTTTTCTTATACCAAAATGTAATCGACACTAACAACAAGTACAATATTTATTCACAGTTAATATTTCTGTGTCATTATTGTAAGTACTTTGTTCGATAATAATGAATAATGGCAAATAAACAGTGTCTGGGTCTTTTTTAATTCCAGTGAAAGAGACCCAGTCCCAAAAATACAGTTGTTTTTTTTCAAATTGTCAGTAGTAAAGTTTTGATAATGGTTCTCAGAGTTGCTTCTCGGTGTGTGTGGATTGAAGGTTCCCCTCCCAAAACTACACAGCAGGTGAGAAAACAACAAAAAAACATTCGGAAACCCTCAATTGGATGGTCCTCCATACATTCTAACATATCCACTGTTAGCCATTTCAGTTCGATTTGCTATACTCACAAAAGATACAGCCTTCCTGTCGATCACCTCCATTGGGATAGTAATCCACGTGACCTGCGGGGGTCACCATTCCCAAGTGCCTGGCATTGGTATGGATCACATCGACAAAACTAGCATCAGTTGGATCCAGAATTTCGTCCAAAGACTCTATGTGCGGCCACTCATACAAAGGGGCAGCTGGATCCAAACCTGAAAAACAGATGTCAGATTAGATATTTGGATAGATCTATTTCGTTCCTCAACTATCATTTCTCTCATACACCGATTGAAAATTTTGTTTGTGGTATCTTGAATTTCACAAAGAAGTAACCAACATTCGCAAAAATAGGAAATCTCTATATCTTAAAATGAGTGAGATATCCTGTAAAGACATCGAACATGGGACCACCTATAGAGTGCATCCTATTTTGGTTGAGACTGCCGGGTTTCTCGGTTGATATTGAAGATAGAGCCTCGCATTTTTCAACGTTTCCATCCCACGTTTTTATTAAACTGAAGATGACCTAATCAGATTTTGTATAACTGTTTCCGTTTATGGTGTATGGCTCGGTTTATGGCTTTGGAGATACGACACGTACTTATATTATTTCAGTGCGGAAACACAATTTATTATATTATCTTGTTGAATTTCTTATGATTTTTCCTACAACGTATGCATAATAATACTTTATACATAGGATTTCGGAGATGCTTAAAAAATACTAAAACATCAAATTATGATGAATTTTTGCTAGTGAGCCATGCATTTTCCAAGTTTCACTTGAAGGAGTATTATGTGTGATTTTTCATATTTCATACTGATTAGATACTTCTTCTTTTTCTTATTATGTATTATGGACTATGTATCATTATTGAATTGTTGTTTTTAGGTATCTACGTCATATATAGGTATCACCTTAACCGTCCTAAGCACCATACGTCACTATACCAACGATCATTCTCATACAATGCATCCAAAATTTATAACGCCATCCCTGACTCCCTGAAAATGATGAATAAATGCAAATTCAGAACTACACTAAAAAAAATGTTGTTTGAGGGTAGGTTTGATATAGTATGATTTCCAATGTATATAGGTACCAAATGGAGGTTTGAACATGTTATCCATAAAACTGGTCGCCTCTAGTTCCCTACAATATCATCATCGATATGATCATATTATATGTATTCCAATTAAACTCTTTGTTGCCACCTTTATTTCCATTTTATTTTCTTCTTCTCTTTTTGTCTAGTTGAACCAAGTCAATATATTTGTTAAAAATATGTATCTTTATAACATATGTAGTCAATTCCACGAACTTAGAACTTCAGTATTTACTTGATAATTATGAATAAATAGCATTCAATTTCTGTATCTCAAATATAATTTTGTATATTCACTAGTACGAACTCATTATCAATTTATTTTCAATAAATCAGGATTATTTATGTAGGTAGAACTTAGGAACATACCATGATGTTATGGGTTGAATGGAAGAGCAGTCACTATTATCTTCGGATAGGAGTGACTGAATTCCGCCCTTACATATTGTCTGATAAATTGTGTACCATCGAGGTTTTGATTATTTTGTAATTTGGACAATATGAATAAAGACATATTATTATTATTATTATTATTATATGATTCGCGTAAGAGGATTAGTGTTAGTCATCTCCTTCGGCTGTTCTATGAAAAAATATCAATAATCAAAATTATCTCACTAATAAGTCCTTTCATTCGAAAAATTCACGGGTGACTAGCAAAAGTTCACCATAATTTGATGTTCTAGTGTTTTTTTACATTTCTGGAAATTCTATATAATGAAGTATTAGGTATTACATTAGAAGGTCAAAATAGTTATTTATTTTACAAGTGAAAAAAGTAGTAGATTTTAGCTCCAGGTTGTGTTGTCAGGGTTGCCACAGACAAAAAACCGTGAGCTAAAATCTAATAGTTTTCCAGTGTAGAATACACTTTTTTTTGTGACAGAAGAAAGGATGAATCAATATTGAGAAGATATTACATTGAGTATATAAAAATCAGAAAATTGTCGACGTTTCTTGCGGGCATCTTTCATCATACTTTTGAAGTAATCAAACATCTGTCAGTCTAATTCTGTGATTTGATTTTCAAAAATTGAGAATTTAGTAATTGATTAGTAATTTACGTAACCGCGTAGACAAATTGAAGATAAAAAGACTTTCAGTTCTTTCTCGGGGACGGTGTTATTGGTTTATTTCTCGGAACTAAAGCCATCAACAGTGTATATATGTACAGTGTGTCCATTTAGTGCGTAATTCTTCGATATCTCGAAAGCCATAACCTATAGAGAAAAACTTTGGAAAAAAAACTTTTTCATTTACTAAATTTCCTCATTTCAAAATTATTTCCAACATTACTGGGTTTTTTTATAAAAGCAGGGCAACTTGAAGAAGAGTTTTTTTAAATGGAACACCCAGTATTGTTCATTCGGAATTAATTCCGTCGAAATTCACCTTCACATCACTGTGAAAAAAATTGAAATCGGTTGCGGCGTTGCCAAGTTATAATTGATAAATCTATTTTTACCATTATTGCAGTCATGTTGAATTGGGCATGGTATATTCATTAATTCAAATTTTGAAAATATTTTTGCATACGGTAGATGCAAGGTCCAACGTATACCAATCCAGTAATCTTGCGACATGACATGCATTTAGAATTTTGCAAGATTCAGATGACATTCATCAGAATTTTTCAAATGGAACACCCTGTATTTTTATTCAAAAATTCATTCCGACATCTTTCGCCTTTTCATCGCTGGAAAAAAAATCGGAATCGGTTGCGGCGTTGTCAAGTTATGGTTGATTTCCTTATTTTTACTACTATTTCGGGGTAATTTGTACGTCATAGTGTTTTCATTCATTTGTATTGTGGAAATATTGCGTTGCTATGGTATAATAAAATTTTTTCATTGACCATTCATATATTTTTTCACAAAAGGAACATTTACAGGCTCTCCAAGTTTGAATTTTTTTTTAAATATTCGTGTAATGACCTGTGAAACATCGCCACAATCAAATATATCTTGGATTGATTCGACATTTTGCTGGATTCCCTCCCAAAAGCCGCGTAGTAGAGACATATTGTTTGAATCATTATATTTACCTTCTTCAAGTTAAATGGAAATTTGGATTGTGGGAATAACAACAATAAAAATGGCCAAATTTCAAAAGATTGTCCTGATTTTCGCAATCCGCATCTTCATTGTTTGTATTTGTAGAAGTTATTTCAAAGACAGGCGTTGCTTTTGGCATATTTGTTTGTTTCAAGATTACGGAATATTTGAAATTTGGACGATAAGAGGGCGCATCAGTCAAAACTGCCATGCAGAGGTCAGTTTGGTACCAAATCATTAATAAACTATAAGTGTAAGCGCAAAAGTGGTTGGTACATATTAAAGACGAAGGTTGAGAATAGGATATGAAGGAATTTTCCAGGGAAATTCGATTTGTGTAAAAAAATATATGGTAATGAAAAACAATAACATTGACAACGTTTGTGTAACAGAATCGAATAAAAACCTGGCATACCCTAAGTTAGCAATTCAATAAATTTTTGATGAAATAATCAGCTTCTGGAACATTGTCGTTTGGGAATGTATTGTTCGTAAAAATAATTCTGACGTTTCTGCATCTATTTTCAATATCGCCATATTGTTAGTGAGTTTTCGACAGTGGCAGAGTAGTTCAGCTATTGTCTCTCAGAGGGCTACACAGTGAAACTACCGTGCTGGGCTCCTTCAAGAACTAATACAAACATTACAGTTATCTTTCTATTCATTTCTTCTTTCTGGGTCTGGGGAACAGTGTTGCCAATAAGTCGCTTTTTAACTTCGTTTTGCGTCATTGCGATTTTTTGTAAGTGATTGCGCTTTTTTTTCTTTTTATAGTCTATCGAGTGCATTGCATAACTGACTCTGTTGATTGATAATATCAATCTGATATATAAAATTCTCCTGTCCCTGTCACGGTGTTTGACGCCAAATTCCTCCGAACGGCTTGGCCGATTCTTATGAAGATTTTTGTGCATATTCGGTAGGTCTGGGAATCAGTCGTGAACGATTTTTCAAATTGAAAATTCAAGATGGCGGATATCCAATATGGCGGACGAGTTTTGTAATCCGATTCTTTTCAAAATTGGTATCTGGGATTTTCGGGTCACAGATTCAGAATCTTTAGTCAAAATAGGAAAATTCAAGATGGCGGTTTCAATATGGCGGACGAGTTTTGTAATTATCGACCAATTCTATTCGAAATTGGTATTTGGGGGTTTTCGGGGTCGGAGATTATGATCATTTGGTCAAAATTGAGAAATTCTCATATCCCATATCTCAATCGTAACGTAACCACCACTTTTCTTCCAATTTATAGAAAATAGTTTTGATTATCTTGAATTCCCATTCAAAAAACTGGTGTTGAAGTAAGTATACATAATCCACTCATGACAGGTAATATTCATAAAAAAATTAGTGTAGGCATAAACAAAATGTTGTCTTTTGTGATAGGCCCATATGAAACTCGAAAGATTATTTTTTATGAAAGCAAGTAATCAATCCTTTCCTCCTTTTCTCATTTGCTAAGAATTAGAAATCTGGTGCTACTTAGTTTCAACCAGTGACCAGTGATGCCAGGTCTAAGGAAATGTCATGAACATGAACGATTGACCTCTACTGATATTTACAAAAACATCAGTGTTATAATATAAAATAGCAGAACGCTGGCAGCACAGCAACTGGCGGAGCGGGCGGTGTCGCGGTATCAGGCAGTGTATGTGATTCCCCGAACGATTCCAACTGGACTTCGAAGAAAAATCGATAAGTGACCAGTGTTGCCAGTATGGGCGATTTCTCGACAATTGGGCTATCTCTGAACCTATTTTGGCGACCAAAAATTGAACTTGGCGACAGGCGACTTATTGAGACGGTTTGATGGGCTTCTGGGAGTGAGATGAGTATCGCGAGTCCATCGAAGGCGAGTCCAAATTCAATGGCTTTGTGGCTTTACCATCCAAGTAGATTCGAGTCATCCGCACAGAGCGAGATCCATTTGACGTTAGCAGGTGTTTTGTTTATATTATGTTTCTACACTCTACAGTATCATTCATAAAGTTGGCATCATATGGGAAAATTTTTTGATAATAATATATCATAAACATCTCATCTATTTTCATCAGGTAAATGTGTCTGAAATGTTTCAAAAACGCACAGAGAAAACATGTCAACAAAAACTTCAAAATCTCCGGGAAGTTCAAATGATTATAAGAACCAAAGGTACAATGATACGTATAACTTCTTCATTCTCTGGCCACAGAACTCTGAAATAATAAGAGAAAATCCCTTTCAACGAAAACCTATATAGATCCGGATCCAATATGCAAATTAGATCCGCCATCTTCAATTTCCTAATTTTGTCAAAAGAATCATAAACACCGATACCGAAAACCCCCAAATACCAATTTTTAATAGAATAGGGTTATAATTACGAAACTCTACCATATTGGATCCGTCATCTTCATTTTTCTGATTTTGACAAAAGAATCATATTCCCCGATTCCGAAAACCCTCAGATACCTACGAATTTTGAAAATAATCGGATCATGAACAAAACTCGTCCGCCATATTGGATCCGATATCTTTATTTTTTAAATGTCGACAAAAGAATCATAAACTCCGATACCGAAAACCCCCAAATACCAATTTTGAAAATATTCGGATCACAAGTACAAAACTCGTCCGCCATATTGGATCCACCATATTTAATTTTCTTATTCTGACGAAAGTATCATTATTTTCAATCCCGAAAACCACCCGATACAGAGATTTTGAATAGAATCGGATCATAATTATTAGAAAACTCGTCCGCCTTATTGGATCCGCCATCTTGAGTTTCCAATTTAAAAAATAGTTTACGATCGATTATCAGACCTACCAAAAATGCACAAAAATTTTCATAAGAATCGGTCAAGCCGTTTCGGAGGAGTTTGGCCACAAACACTGTGACAGAGAATCAATAATATATGTTAGATATAAACTATCGTATGACTTTCATTCTATGGTGAGGTCATCACAGGATGGGAATACTAGATGGTAAATATAATAATGTGAAATATATCATTCCACTATTATGAATTTCTACTACTACTAATTTGGCGACGTACTCTGATTAAATACTGGCAACACTGTAGTTGACTTTGTACCTGTTCCCTTAGTACAGCCACAAACATTATTCAGAGACATCTATTGATGAGGTTCCCTATTGATTGAATTGAATGTATCTAAAGGATTCTGTAGAAATAATTCATGAAACTATAATTATGGCGCCACTAGACGGCTGTGATATATTTATAGTTTCACTGGTGTCTGTGGGCGAACTATTTCACTGTGATGCGCGCCCTTAAGAAACCATCATGGCGTACAAATTACCCCGAAATAGTAGTAAAAATAAGGAAATTATTCATAACTTGAAAACGCCGCAACCGCTTTTGAATTTTTTTTCTGCGATGAAAAGTCGAATGATGTCGAAATGGATTCGTGATGAAAAATACAGGGTGTTCCATTTGAAAAATTCTTATGATCGTCGTCTGAATCTTACAATATTCAGAATGTAAATTTCAGCACCCTGTAAAAGATAATCTCGCAAAATTACTAGATTGGTGTACGTGAGACCTTGCTACTACTGTATGCCAAAAATCTTCTCAAAATTTCAATAAATGTATATACCATTCCCAATTTAACATGACCCTTCAATAGGAGTAAAAATGGGTTCATCAATTATAACTTGGCAACGCCGCAACCAAACTCAAATTTGTTCACAGCGATGTAGAGCTGAACCTTAGCGGAATGAATTTTGAATAAAAAATACTGGGTGTTCTATTTGAAAAAACTCGTCTCCGAGTCCTCCCGCTTTTATAAAACACCCAGTATTGTTGAAAATATTTTCGAAATGGAACCTTCAATAACGGAAGGAATTTTTTTCCGAGAGTTTTTCTCTAGTGATAATGGATTTCGAGATATCGAAGAATTACGCACTAAATGGACACACTGTACATAAATGATATATATCCGGGAGGGTGCACTGCATTTCGATACAACCTGAATCTCCGAACATGCCCGAAGAAGGCACTCTGTTGCCGAATATTATCCTATATACCAGAATTCAATGAAACTGTCATTATGGGCCTTACGACACATTACGTTACAACTATACATTTCGTTACACCCACATTGCTTCATGCCCACATTTCGTTAGCCCCACATTTCTTTATTCCCACTGTCTCGGAACATACCCGAAGAATGCACGTTTGCCAGATGTGGGTGTAAGACGATGTGCGTTAGGCCGTTAGGCCCACAATCCCTAGTTTACGAGTCTAGCTACAGCATTTCTCTCTATGGCTTCTTGAATTTCCAAAACGTAATATGAGGAAGGGAAATATCCTTTTTACATAATAAAAGACACTACTTTTTATGAACATTCTAACCTTACTCGGCCCAAATGAACCTCCTTCCTGAGAAATATATTTTTCTGAATATTACTTTAGAGAGCAGAAGAGAATATACTTTTTCGAAACAATCTAACCTTACTCGGACTGAATAAACTTTCCTAAAGAGTATATTTTTCGATAGTTTGCTTGAGAGAACGAGTGATACTACTTTTTCAAAACAATTTAACCTAACTCAGCCTAAATCAACCCTTTTCCTAAAAAGTATATTTTTCGGAAAATTACGCATCGAGCACAGTATATGGCAACAGTGGATCCTTCGGGTATGTTCGGACACTGTGAGAATATGAAAATGTGGGGCTAACGAAATGTGGGCCTACCGAAATGTAGGTGTAACGCAATGTAGGCAAGGAAACGTGGGCATAAAGCAATGTGGGTGTAACAAAATTGAGGTGTAACGCAATGTGTCGATAGGCCCACAATGACAGTTTCATTGAATTCTAGTGTGGGATAGTATTTGGCAACATTGACTCCCTCGGGTATGTTCGGAGACTGTGGATGTATCTAAATGTGGGACTAACAAAATGTGGGAACAACGCGATGTGGGGGTAACGAAATGTGGATGTAATGACACGCTCCCATCCGGGAAAGAAGTACTCGCCTCTTTTTCTGGTGAAAAAGTATTTCATGGAAAGTGACATTTTATTAGCAGTCAACAGAGTTGAAATTTTTCCCCGTCACAGAAAAAAATGGAAACTCCAACGAGATAATAAAGTACAGGGTGTTCCACTGGAAAATATATGAGTTATATGTATAAACCCCTCATGCATCAGGAAAAAACAATTATTATGCCACTAGATTATGTGCAAAATTCCCTATTACGTAGTTTGTAGCGCAACAGTATTCCTATTAACTCCGTAGATATGGAACTGGTCCCAAAAATTGAAGAGTGTATAATCTCTGCCGATACCGAGATGCCTGGTGGTAGTCTCAACCAGAATGGGATGCACGATGCACTGTACAACCGCACTTGATCACAAAACGAAAGCAAATACACTAACCTGTGATTCTCCCGATTTTTTGTCCTAGTTGGTTTTTTATTCTCATTCCCACATTAGCTGATATCTGCCCTCCCATACTGTGACCTATCAGGTGTATCGATGACATAGATATACCTCTGTGATAAGCGAGAAGAAGTAACAGCTTCGTCAGTTGTTTGGCAACAACAGTGTTATGGATCCTTGCCTCGATATATGTCACGTGTGAGAGATTGGACCAATCGACCACGAAAACGTTACAGGTGCCACTTTGAGCGAGTGCTGAAAATAATATAGAAGAAGAGCTGAAATGAAATAGTATATTACATAACTAGTGTGGAAAGTGACATATTTCGTGCTAGTGCGGAATCGAAACGAGCGCAGGAAATGCACTTTCTAATGAGTTTTGTACACGAATTTTCCTACGACCACAAATATTCATATTATATGTCATGAGTGTTTATAAAACCAGAGTAGGGATCATGTTTCTAATCATATTTGATCACATGAAGGTGATATCATTATTATTTAATTTTACTTCAATATCTAAATGACATCATTAGTTCAACGTTAACTTATCATTAACTTAATATGAACTACTCAACATCAACTTAACATCAACTTAACATCAACTTAACATCCACTTAACATCAACTTAACATAAATTTAACAGTTTCCTAACATTAACTTGAAATTAACTTGACATTAACTCAACATCAACTCAACATTAACTCAAAATTGACCTACATTGACTTAACATATGCTTAACATTAACTCAATAATTATTCAACATTAACTCAACATTAAATCAACATTAACTCAAATTTAAATTGACATTACCTTAAAATCAAATTATCATCAACTCAATATCAAATTGACATTAACTTCACATTAATCACTAAATTGCCAATACATTGACATTGATTCAACTTTCAATTGAAATTAACTTGATTTCAACTTTTCATCAACTTAAAATTACATCAACATTAACGACAATAACTTATGTTAAATTGACACTAACTTTCCATTAACTTGACCATAACTTAACTTACCATAATTCAGCTGTTTTCATAGGGTGGTCGTAGAAAAAACACATTGATTTATTTTTGAGAATGTGACTCGTTTCACTATGACAACATATAACAGTTAGAAAGTTCGAAAGTAAAACTCACATGAGTGGAAATATTCGAAAATCGCACAGTAACAGGGTCTATAGATTATAATGTACCAATGAATGATTATTATGCTGAATTATGGTAAGTTAAGTTTTAGTCAAGTTAATGGAAAGTTCGTGTAGATTTCACATGAGTTATTGTCGTTGATGTGGACGTAAAGTTAAGTTGATGAAAAGTTGAAATCAAGTTAATTTCAATTGAAAGTTGAATTGATGTCAATGTATTGGCAATTCAGTGATTAATGTGAAGTTGATATCAATTTGATATTGGGTTGATGTTAATTTGATTTTGAGGTAATGTCAAGTCAATTTTGAGTTAATGTTGATTTAATGTTGAGTCAATGTTGAATGATTATTGAGTTAATGTTAAGTTGATGTTGAGTCAATGTTAGGTTAATACTAGGTTAATGTTGAGAAACTGTTAAATTTATGTTAAGTTGATTTTAAGTGGATGTTAAGTTGATGTTACGTTAATGTTGAGTTAATGTTAAGCTCATATTGAGTTAATGTCAAGTTACGGTTAAACTAATGATGTCATTTAAATATTGAAGTGAAATTAAATAATAATGATTTTGATATCACCTTCATGTGATCGAATATGATTAGAAACATGATCCCTACTCTGGTCTTATAAACACTCATGACATATAATATAAATATTTGTGGTCGTAGGAAAAATAGTGTACAAAACTCGTTGGAAAGTGCATTTCCTACGCTCGTTTCGTTTCCGCACTCGCGCGAAATATGTCACTTCCCAAACTAGATATGATATATACTATTTCTCGTATTACGTCAAGGAATGATTTCATTTTGTGTATATATTTCTGTTATTAAAAGTCAACGTTGCTTCGTAAAGAAGATGGAGTACGAGCTGCAATATTTTTTGTCTGCAATCGACCCAACAGTCGTTCATTTTTTGTTCCAGAATTAGCTCTTGAAGTTGCCGTTTCTCTTATTGATACAAAGGAATGATTCGTATGTATGTTGCTAGGCATCATTTTTAGTGTCTATATGATAGGAGCTAAAGTTCAAGTTTAACTCCTAAGAAACACGCAAAATCTCGCTTGTCAAACGAAGTGTCGCATTTAAGGCTAAAACAATAACGTACTATTCGCTATACAGGGTGATTCACGGTGGAAGGCCCATTAGATATTTCTGGAGAACGTAACTTGGGATGATTCTGAAAATTTGGTTCCTTGAATAATTAGTTGTGCTCTATCGACCTGAAATATTCTCAGCGCTGCGACGTTGTCGAAAATATTGGAAAGTAGCAACAACTTTGATTGTTTAAATGGGACACCCTGTATATTATTCTATTTTCAGATTCTCCCTGAAGAGCTGATTTCTCATTGACTTATAGCACTTGGGGTCTAGCAGTGACAATTACAGAGATATAGGGGTTTTTTGTGTCGAAACTATCCATAATTGGTCAAAACGGTTTCCATGTTCCTATCTCAACTTTTCGTTTACTATCACTACTGTTTTCAGTTTTGATCTCCTCCTGAAGATGCTAACATAGTTAGCGAAACACGTGTCGAGGCGTTAAAAAATCGGTTTGGTTAGTGGTAAAACAGTGTAGTGTATTATCGTGCCAAAGGTTCCAGTGTTCGATACAGAAATTATAATTTCCACTCAGCTCTGTACAGTATTTATCTCTGATGATAGGAATGTACCTATATATCAAAATTACATTGCCAAATGATGAATAACAATCGAAGATATTCTGGTTTCATCCGTAGACATGAATAGAGAATGAATATATAATCCACACAGCACATGATATCCATTGGACGTTCATTCATATTTCGAGTCCAAACGTCAATGGGCATGGATTGGGTATCCATTGTACGTACAAACATGCATGCTCATCGGTTGTTTCAACTTGTACATCCAGTGGAAGTCCATCGAAAGCCCAACCACCTTTGAACGTAGAATGAACGTCTAATCGTATATGTCCAATAGATGTCCTTCACATTCGAAATTGACGTACACTGCATGTACACACGTACAGGGAGATTGTTTATATTTTACTCAATAGCTATCTCAGTTAATTTAAATGGAACACACAATATTTCATTTTCCTAAACGTAAAGATCTTTCTCCTGATTCCAAATATATATATTCTTTTCTTCTCAGGTCGTCTTTTGTCAGTTTTTGAAATAATTTTTTTTTAAATATATCTAAGGCAGGTGTTGAAGCCCGAAAACAATGCTGCGATTCCTGACGTTCTATATATCTTTCGAAAACTGACAAAGAGTACCTCAATAAAGTATATTTATTTTGAAATCAGAAGAAATACCTCTATCGTTTAGGAGAATGAAATACTGGGTGTTCAATCTGAAGAGTACCGGTGTATTTAAAATTTTTAGGTTCACGATGACATTTTCATTATCTAGTACTAGATTCTGAATGCTCATAAACGTTTCTGTACATACACCTGCTGTCTGGGAGGTCAGGTTCAGTTTCTGTGAATGAATTATCTTGAGGATAATTTAAATGTGAGTTCACTGAATTATCATTAACTAAAGAAAAAACTTGTTGAAAACAAGTTTTGTGATTGATTCAAATTAATTTTTTGTGATTATTATTTAGCATCCATCAGGCAGCAACAATACAAAAGCTGAAATGTTTAGTCATGTTTAGTATACCCCTATTTTCAAAAACCACAATGAGAATTCACCAGGGAAACTTTTTATGACAGTTCTTGCTCTCATCGATCGAAGATAACGGTTGGAAGCATTGAATCTTAAATTTACATCACAAATACGACATGACCTAAATTATTGTATCATTTCAATGTGAGTTCACTGAATTTCCAACCCAGCACTCAGGAAGTCGGATCGTAGAACAAAATATAAAACCAGCACCATTCCACTGTAATCTTTGGAAGTTTTCCAGATGAACACAATTTGATGAAATCTTAACCTAGTATATATTCACACTTGGCTGCACCGAGGCTGCACCTAAGAAATTTCATGATTGAAGTCACATGAAATGCGATATCAACGGCTATTTAGGTGAGCAAACATAATATAAACGGCTATTCTGTTCGACAGCATAAGAGTGCTATGAGTGTCAGAGTTTGACACTAGTAAGTTTGAGATTTTACATCAGTTACTTGAAAATTGAAATGTCTCGTTTTGGGTCTACTTGCACTACAGAAATCAGCAGTAAATATGTAAGAGAATCAATATCAGAACATACCAAGAAGACTAAAGAGTCTGTCTGAAACAATTTTTTGTTTTTGGTCAGCAGAAAAACTATGAATTTTGTGCAACTCCACCCCAACTCTCGTGATCGCCAAAATCCTAGATGATTATGTGAAGAGTATGGTAGGGAATATGAAGAGAACACAGTTGAATTGATATGGAAATATATATAGGAAGTATAACTTCACTGAACATAAACGTAAGATAAATCCATTCGGAGATATCGAATGCAAAGATTCCAGGAACAAGAAAGGGACGTTCAAAAGCAATAACTTCAGATGAATTGTATTTTTATACTATTCATGAAATAATCTTACTAAATATCACTCGACAATGACACATAGAGACTATTATTTTCTTCAATTCATCCCGAGTACCTCGAATTTTGAGACAATTCAATTCGACCATATGAACATTAATAATCATAAAAGAAGTCTTGAGATTCAGATTATCAGTGTTCATATGGTCTCATCAACCTGTCAAAATACAAGGTACTCTTTGTTGGAATTATCAGAGAAAAATAATAGTCCGCTATTTCTCATGGTCTCGAAAACAAAGAAGTAAATGAAATGATTCATCAGATACCACAGGGTGACACTAGCAATTTTTTCTTCAATAACATCTCTGACAACAGCGAATGTCAACTTTTTTCAAATGTCATTGTATATTACAGGGTGTCCGCTAAAAGGAGGTCAATCCATCAACCATAATATATTCCTTGAACAGAAACAATATGAGTTTCTGAATACCATTTTTCATTTTAGCACTTCATATTCGATATACAGGGTGTTGAAGTCGGAAATAAAAAACTGTTTTTTTTTTTCAATTACTCGCGTATTTAATGAGATATTGATCCCAAAATTGATACATTACTTCAGCACAAAGAGTTACATCGTGTGAGGAGAACAAAACAGAAAATAACTGTCAAATATTCAAAATACTGGGGGTCAAGTACACACTTACCCCCCTATTTTTTTGTACGTGCGCTAATGACTTCCTATCTATTTTTCTTCAAGTGCTCAATCATTTTTGGGTATTTTTTGGGTATTTTTTGTCTCTTGTAAAATTTCGATAAAATCATTTGTTTTCAAGATAATTCGAAAAGTACTGGTTATTGTTTGATGCCTATGCGGCTAACGGTAATCTCATAATGTTCACATACTCCTATTTATTTCGTCGAAATTGGAAGAGGGCGTAACTTTTTACGTACGAAAAGGTAAATATGGAAATACCGGGTGCTCAGAGCGAATGTATTGAAATAAGTTTCACAAAAAAAAATTATAGAAATTCACGTTTGATTCAATTTCCGACTTTGACACCCTGTATATCGAATATGAAGGGCTAAAATGAAAAATGGTATTAAGAAACTAATATGGTTTTTGTTCAAGGAATATATGGTTAATGGATTGACCTCCTTTTAGCGTAACAGCCTGTAGTTTTTTTATTTGAAGAGATATAAATTTGAAATTCACAAGGGTTATATTATCGATGATGGCGCTTTGCTTGAACCCAATGACAATTTTCTTTAACCACCTGTTTGATTGGAAGTAGACCGAACTTTTTTTTCCAAATGGCGCCCTGTATATTTCTGAAGCCTATCATTATCTGCCTTAAAATTATCTATTCAACCATGTATCAAAATTTGAGATTCGTTTATTGAAATACATGAATTGGATGTGGCCCGAATACAATTTCGATGCTTGATGGGTGCTCATATTATGGCTACATGGCGGAAATGGAAGACAAATAGTTTCTTCACAAGTAGACAAATGGAAAAAACTGAGTTTATATCTTAGTTTTCTCAATATCGTGTTATTTTTGGGAGATTTTTTTTAACTCAGTAATATTATTGTCAGTCTTCTGAGACAGGTGGTGGAAAATTGTCATTGGCTTCAAGGAAAGCGCCAGAATCGATAATGAAACTCTTGTGAATTTCAAATATCCATCTCTTCAAATAAAAAAACACTACAGGCTGGTACATGTCTCCTGTATCACCCGGTATATATTTTGATAGAGATATTTATTTATCAGATGTATAACAAGTTGACTCTTGCGCAGAAGTGGTTGAAACAATTTTCCGGCCAATTTGCCATTGTGACACAAAACCTTCAATAATAAACTACAAGTTTATCAGTATTTGACCTTTGTCAAATAAACAGCAACCTTTTTGAAACCATTCAATCCTGTTGCCGGACCCTGTACATCTGAATGCTTTCTATAGTTGTATGATATAAGCTTGACAGCTTTCAATAGAAGTGGGCCCTTTGTGTTCTAAGGAGTTTGCTTCATTGTCTTAATGATGTTATTACAGCACAATAATTTTGAGAAGAAATTGCAATATAAGCTGTGACAACTTCTCATTGTTGCTGATGATTGAACTGATAATGTTATTTGGGAGGTACATTCATGATAGCTATATGCAAAAGCAGCATTGCTGTTAGCGTTCTCACCTTCTCTCATTTCAATCATCCAAGGCACATTATCTCCATGTGTCCAACCGTGAATAATTATCTTGGTAGGTAAGTAAGCATCAAATCTTGATTTGTTCAAGGAACTTCCATCTTCCACATAGATTCTGTCGCTCACCTCCAGGTCGTCCCTGGAAAATCAAATTCGGTCAAATTTCTGCATTGAAAAAGCGAATTTGCGTACTCACCTGTGATATAAATTGAATTCCACGTCATTCTCAGGAGGTACATAGTTATAAACTTGATTATCTCGAACGAGAGGATATAATAAACTACCAATTTCCGAAATTATACACACTAATGTCACTATTTTTAACCACATATTCTCCAGTGGATCTTGAAATGTAGCATTTTATCGCGGATTTGTATGTTTCTGTCTAGTAAGCAATTGTTGAAATTCTAAAACTTAATGAAATGAAACCTCAGTGTTTTATGGATCATATGGTTGATATCACGTGTTACGTTACGCGAAATCAATTTCATCAATGAATATGAATGGGAATTATTGTATACAGGTCTTTTCACGATGTTCCTATATAAGGTAATGAAATAAGTTCATCGAAATCAAAAATATAAGAAAATTTGCCGGAATAATAAAAACAGATCATAAGTATTGTTCAATATGTCTAGGAAGCTTCGTGTTTTATTATTTATCGTTAATGTTAAACTGCAGCCAGAACTTATTAACAACGAAAATTACAGGGTGACCCTTTGAAAACGAAACAGAGGCTCTGTAGGTCGCCATTTCAAGTAAGTGGATATAGGTGTTACTGTAGGTAGGTATATTTTAGTGGAGATAATTTATATTCAGGTTCAAGTTTTTAGTTTTTTTCGAGGTTAATCTAATTTCAACATAACCCTAAATATGACCTTGATCCACGAGACCCATATTTGTCACTTTGTTTTCGAAAAGGAAAAACCAGGGATTACGCGTTTTCGTTTATCTGCTTCCCAAACTATCCCAGACTCATCTCAGATTGAGTTTGATGCGCACCTGAATCTGCGCAGTCCGAGAATTGCTAGAACAATGTGAAACGCGAACAAACCTATTGCAATGTTAGTTATTCGAACTTGTAGGTCAACAAAATATAGCTACCTAACAATATAATGAATTGATGTTGAATCAACAAAATATATAGTTGATACACCATACAGATAATGCAAAACGACGCTGAGGTATTTGATGAGTCAATTATAACAGCCATTAACTCTATGGGGAGAATATTGTTGAGAACACAAAAGGGTATAATGAAGTCATCAATTCATTATTGATCATATCAGCAAAGTCAATGATGATTCTTCAGTTGACTACAAATGCTTTTGGTAATTCAACTATAAAATTGTTGTAGACCTACCCTGTATTCTTGTCGAATCATCAACTGATTTTCAACAGTGTAGTTCGTCATCATACTGAGTCATTCAAACGATCGTTTTCTTACTGTATTGCTAACCGTCTCAATATGGTCTCAATAACTTACCCCACGATTTCACTTGCTCATCACTACATAAACTTCAACGAGTTCTTTTTGACTACTATTCATCTGAGCAATAATTAAAATTTTCGGATTAAAATGTATTTCCTTGGTCATGTGCTAAACTATATATTATCCTTTCTTTGTTAATATAAATTGATTTAAATAATTTATCAATATTTTCGCTGTTTTGGGGTTAGATGGAAGAGCAGATGTATGTTAAATGCCAAAATATTTCATATTGTACTTTTTTTTAAATACATACAAACTGAATCTCGCCCCAACTATACACTAACAAAATGTAATTATATCTTCCATTAACTGGTAATGAAGACATTGATTATTATTATTATTATTATTATTACGAGACTCTTCTAGGCTGTCAAAGGGCAGCAAAAATATTCAGCAGATAGCAGACAGCAGATAGACAGTGTGCCCGTGTATATTTGGCAACACTGTTACATGGTTGGAGCGAAACTTGAGTTGGGTATGGAATTGATATAAAACTATGAAAATATATACTCACTTCGGGAATGGTAACAAAAGATATCAGAACTACTGAAATCACTATATTGACCCAGAATAACCATCTTAGGAAGATAAAATAAGATGCGACCACTGAGCCAAAATGAGACTCAATTTCTTTAATTTTCAGTTCCCAAGGAATGAACCACATCGAAAGGTTGAACATTTCTCTCCTACACAGATTCCATTTCTGAAAATAAATTAATTCCAATTAAGTAGATACATTGGAAATTCCGTTCATATAATCATACTAACATACAACTATACAAACATATACATGCCAAGCTAATGAGAACATGGTGATATGATAAACATTTTTTGGAAAATTACTTTTATTAACACGATATTCCATCTGGCTAGCATATCTCTTGTCGAGTGACTTTTTGCAAGTCTTTCTTGGAGTACGCCTTCATGTTTTTTTATGTAAGCTTTAGCTTGTACTACTAGTTTGAGCTTCTTCCTCATGTTCCACGGTTGCATCTTGACACTACTCAACACTTCTTTGTGTAATTTTATATTCTCGAATATTTCTTCTTGCGTTACTTCTATCGGTAGATTATCATCCACAGTGATGGCTGTACTGAAAGAAGACCAAGAAATAGTAACTAACACAACATAATGTTGAATTTTTATCGGATTTGTCTCAAATACCTACTAGGAATTGAACCCAGACAAAAACACCATTAGAATATTCTACAAGTCCAAATATACGTTTATGTTTTGAAAATTATGGTGAATATCTACAGTAGATTCACGATACTTTTCAACTCCTAATCAATCTGGACATTTCCAGAGTCAATTGAACAAATTCAAATCCAAAGGTGCATTTGAACCGTTTCAATATCAGGACCTTTGTTCGGAGATCAGGACAGTTATTTCGACAACTCGTATGTTATCATTTTGATGTTCTTCCGGAAAAATGGCAATTTGTTCAAATTCAATCGTACATTCGTACCAATATATAGGGAACGAAAGAAGAACAACAACTGTCCTGTCAAATACTTAGCGGAACATTCAATTTCATTATTGAATGTCAAATTATGATTGAATTAAGTGACATCCTTAGTGTGAATACTCGAAGGTGGAAATCGCATTGTGAAAAATTGATATCCAAACTCCATATCCATCCTCATTCAAGAATTTCATGTATGTTCTAACTAGAGAACAATTAATAAAGGACTATGTTGTTGTGGGATGGCTCTTTAGAGAAATGTGAGCTTGAAAAGTGTTGTTTTCTTAGTTTCTGTTAGTTTCTGAGATATAAGCCAACAAAGTTCGATAAAACGTCGAATCGGGGTAGGATTGACAAAGAAAAAAACAGTTTCCTTATTATAAAAAAGACAAACCAAGCTGAAAAATGTTTTGATCGGACTAAAACTATATAATTTCTAACCAAAATATAACTTGTTGATATTGGAATGGTGCTAGAATTCTTTGACCGTGCCTCGTATACACCGTAACTTACTATAATCAATGTGATTATAACTGATCTAGATATGTTCATGATTTCCAATCAATACATTTTCTAGCTAACTTTGTCTATATCCTCCCCGATACTACGTTCTTACGAACTTTGTCGGCTTATATCTCAGAAACTAAGCATACAAAACTTCGTAAACTCACATATTTTTTAAGAAAGACATCCCACAACAACATAGTAAAATTTCAGTCATTTCGACCAAGAACCAATTCCCCATGTTTTCGTGCGTGGTCCTCAATACAGAGAATTAAATTGGAATAAATTCGTTATCGGGAGGTGAATATTTTCCTAAAAAATTCTCGACATAATTATGTCAACGATTTGATGTATTCAACTGAATTTTGCAAGCAATATCGAGAATATATCCCTCCAGGGATAGCTGAAACCACCCTCAACATGATTTTTGCGTATGTAACCCTATGGCTTGTGGCAGGGGCGGATCCAAGGGGGGGGCCATGGGGCCATGCCCCCCCCCTCGAGCACCTCATGGACATGTAAAAATGTAGGTATTTTGAATAAATGAAAAAATTAGTGTATGTCTTTATAGCTAGAAACTTCGCAACAGCTTTAAGGAATTGCGAATTTGTAATTACAGTCTGCTGTTTGGCAAATATATTTTCGATAACACTGCCACTTATAGTAATTTGCTCCAAACAAAAAACAAGCTAACGATGTTGTTAGTATCACTCTTCAGACGCTTCCAGATAAAAGGGATGATATTCTAAATACCTACTATCTAAGTATTTCGAATGCAGCCAAACAGAAATTGAAAGAAGTGAATGTTGAATTTTCGATGCCGAGAATAACAGGGAGAATGGTTCAAAGACCAAATACGGTTTCCTCAGTGGATGACCATTACAGATTAACTGTTTTTATTGATCTGAAAGAAGGAATATCAGAAAATGAATCCATCCAGAAGATCGTTTCTGAAATGTATATATGGAAGAAAATGAGGGATACTAAGCAAAATATACCAAACAATGGTATAACTGCCCTGAAGGAATGTAACAAACATTTGTTTCCTAATATAAACATCCTTCTGGAACTATTTTGTTGCCTACCTGTAAGTGTTGCATCTTAAAGAAGTTTTTCAACACTCAGAAGGCTGAAAAATTGGATAAGATACAGAATGGTCCAAGACTGGTTAAATGGATTGGCATTAATGCATATTCACAGGGGCATCTGCAGCAGTCTGAATGTTGATGATATCATCCAAAGATAAGCTAGGCAGAAGAATAGAAGACTGGAACTTGTTTTCTTTATTTTATATATTTTTATTTTTGTCTGTTTCATTTGTTTTATTTTTGGAGAGAAATATTTTCATTCACTTTTGTACCCAAGTTTTTCAACAGAAATATTTTTTCATTCACTTCTTTTATCCAATATGATTTATTACAGAATTCTACATACATTGATGGAAAATTTTTTTACACCAATAATTTCGATGTTTTCTATGATCAGTTTTTTTAATGAAAAAGCATTTGTCTCATATAATTTCTCTTCCGCGCTAACCTTATTGAGCCGTGACTTTCTATGGCCCCCCCCTCAAACATCGTCTGGATCCGCCCCTGGCTTGTGGCCCCTCATTTGGGAAGCTGGTGGAAAGAGCAATCCAGCGTACTAGTCAAATTTTAGTTTTTCATACGTTCGAAGGTTGCATTGAATTGAAATGTAATGTCAAAATTATTTTATTTTTTTCAATCTATCAATCGCTCAAAAAGTGTGTTGAACAATTCATGGCAATTTTTTGTCACAATTGCTTTCAACCAGCTGTCCAATGAGGGGTCGCAAGCCATAGGGATGCATTTGAATAACATATGTTGATGGGGTTGATTCCAGCTACCC